CTATTGAGTTCTCATCTTTTACTGTATGTACCTATATAAGGAATAACATACATCATATAGAATTATTTTCAATGAGGTGTCTTTGATACTGATTGGAGCCAGAAGTTTAGCTTTCTTTTCTCTAGTCATAGAATCATAGAATATCAGGGTTGGAAGGGACCTCAGGTCATCTAGTCCAACCCCCTGCTCAAAGCAGGACCAACACCAACTAAATCATCCCAACCAGGGCTTTGTCAAGCCTGACCTTAAAAACCTCTAAGGATGGAGATTCCACCACCTCCCTAGGTAACCCATTCCAGTGCTTCACCACCCTCCTAGTGTAAAAGTTTTTCCTAATATCCAACCTAAACCTCCACCACTGCAACTTGAGACCATTGCTCCTTGTTCTGTCATCTGGTATCACTGAGAACAGTCTAGATCCATCTTCTTTGGAACCCCCTTTCAGGTAGTTGAAAGCAGCTATCAAATCCCCCCTCACTCTTCTCTTCTGGAGACTAAACAATCCCAGTTCCCTCAGCCTCTCCTCATAAGTCATGTGCTCCAGCCCCCTAATCATTTTTGTTGCCCTCCACTGGACTCTTTCCAATTTTTCTACATCTTTCTTGTAGTGTGGGGCCCAAAACTGGACACAGTACTCCAGATGAGGCCTCACCAATGTCGAATAGAGGGGAATAATCACGTCCCTCGATCTGCTGGAAATGCCCCTACTTATACAGCCCAAAATGCTGTTAGCCTTCTTGGCAACAAGGGCACACTGTTGACTCATATCCAGCTTCTTGTCTGCTGTAACGCAGCATTCCTGCAGCATGTGGCTTCCTCAACCTGATAATACAACTGTGTGTTCTGAAAGCGTTATTTCTTCCTCAGCAGTGAACAAGAATAAAAGATTAGTTCTCATTTTGCAGTTACTGTAGGTCTCATAAAAGCATCCTGTAATGAAAATGATATATTGTTAAAATGCAGCGCTAGGCTGTCCAGCTAATAAAGAAAGCAAGCTCTGTTTGTCAGCTTTACTGCGATACTTCTGTGCATAGGAAATATTTATCTTTTTATTTCCAAAATGTCTTTCCCACAGATTACTGTAAAATATTTTATTGCTGTTATATCTTGTTTCTATTCCTCCCTGCCAACCAGTTCGACTATGTAAACTCAACAATTAAATCCAACCTTCATGAGGATCACTCCAATCAAACAGCCTTGCCCGCCTCATCCTTCCACTGACCTACTTATTGAGAAGCACCAAGTCTAGCAAAACAACATTAATTCCCATGGCTTCACTGGGCATTCAGACATGCCAGATGGACTCTCATTCATACTACCAGGCAGAGAATCCACAAACTACAGCACCTAACGTAGCTTCTCATGATGATGATGATGATGAGCCCGTTGATAAAATGTATCTCATTGTCAAAGACCTGTAAAGAAGTCAGTCTGAAATGGTCAATGATCCAAGGGCTTAAAGTATTTCAGGAAAATATGGATTTGATACTAAATAAAGCAACCTTAGAATCCAATTCTACCCACCTCTGAGGCTTACTAGTGTAGCTCCGGGGATACACTCTAGTTATCCTCTAGTCTCTCTTTGGTAAACAATTAATAAGTATCATAGACATCAAAACATTGTAAGGACAGACTAGGAAGGATGGTGACACTACAAATGGATACACAAAACTAGTATAAACAGCATACCTAAACAACACAAGCCCCATGCTGAGCCCATAAAGAAGCCCTTTAAAGCCAAATTCTGCAACAGTCAACCAAGGATAAAACCAAAAGGGGATGCAATGGCAATCATGTTAAATTACATACTTCTCAACAGGCTGTTGAGACGATCTGCTGGCTAGTAATTAAACAAGGTCACAGAAAATAGGAGGGCTCAATGAATAGTTCCCGAATTACATGATGCCATTTTATGTTGTAAAAGCCAACAGATACACCAGCACAGAAGATCCAGTCTATGATAATTAATTGCACTAAACTTCCATCTTTGATTACAAAACATCAATTTTTACAGTGAAATGTGAGACTGCAGTTTGGTCACCATGCCTTTATTTGTTTTTTTGCTTTTTAAATACCTGTAAATTGATATTTAACCAATTTCTATAGAAAAGATGGAGATATGTTACATGCCTAATTTTCCACAGCATGCTTAGCTTCTGAATAATCCATTTAATGCATTCCAGCAAACGTGCCATGCTAAGGGCATAACTAAATGCTAGCAAGACAACTGACTCTTCTGCTTATTTTTTTCATGCTTTCTCAGAAAAAATGAGAAGTCCACAGGTCATGCAGGATGAAGGATCAGCAGGCACAGAAAAGAAAAATGTATCCCAAAATGGGAGAGCTCAAAACATCCACTGTGACAATATAACTCCATTCAGTCTGGGAAACTGGAGGGTTATTTTCTCTGCTGCATGTAAGTGGATGCTACACCAAATTCCTTGCTCAACAGCAGCAAAAAGAAAATTGTGAGATAGCCTGGTACCAACTGTTTGGTTATACTGTACAAGTGCCATCAAAGGCACATTCCTTTCTGGATCCTTCATGCAATGGAGAGAATGCCAGCTCCATGTTGGAGTTCATGCCCAAAGCAATGGGAACAACCATTTCCAGCTGTTATTTCAGAGCTATTTCAGAAGAAGGAATGTAAGGTTTTCACTGCTGCTAACAAGTATGTAAGCTAAACAGTTTCACCCTAGAACTAAGCTATCATTGAACACAAAAGAAGGGACTTCCTGTTCTACAAGAGCTCCTTAATGTATCCAAAATTTGGAATTTGTTGGCATCAGCTCCTTTTTACTTCAGACTTAAAAAAACTACTGCAGTGCTTACTTATGATACATAGGCACTGTACCTAAGGCATTTACTAACTAAGAATGAGTATTATATCGAGATCAGAAAAAACAGTTTTCATAGCTAGCAAACATCATAGTTTAGACTAAATTCCAGCCTCCGTTCTAACCCCACTCTTTTCTGTTGCTCATTAAAACAAACCCTTTGGGGATGAAATTTTCATGCTTAGCCTCCACTCAGAGTTGAATTTTTTCTGGATGGGGGAGACGCTAAATCTAAACTGATCTGACACTTTTCAGAACAGCGAGAGGAAAGAAAACAACATTAGTCCCTAACTTGAAAACATCTAATGCTATAGACTGCAAACTCGGCAACATTTTAGTTGTCACCAAGGAAAGGTAAAAAAACCAACCAACCAACCAACCAGCCAAGTGTGGAGAAAAATTATTTAAAAGTTATGAATTTTTTAAAATGCTAGTCCAAGCATACACAACCAAATATCGGCCACTTTTTAGTGGGCCTCAGCTTTAAAAGGAGCCATCATTTAAGGGAACTCAGCAGTGAAACACCTTTTAGACCCTTTAAATAACAGGGAAATACAATCCAAAAGCTTAGGTTGATAATAATGGTGAAGTTGAAATATTAATCACATAGAACGTGGAAATTCAAAAGTCATTTCCCACAAAAAATAGGTACCACATTGCACATACGTAAAATTCACTATTGCTGCTTTACTTGTTCAATGTCAATCTTACTACTGTTTATGCTGTTAATCATATGCCATAAATATACAAAATGTGAAACACGGCTGAGTTACCACCACTGAGGGAACCTTAACCTTCTGTTTTCCTGGCTCACATGCTTAATTCTACACCCCTACCAATGCACTAATATTCGTTTTTCAGATCGCATGTTCACTTTTAATATAATTTAGAGAAATTCTTTACCTGGCACTATTTCAAATATCTTAATTCTGAGTAGTGTTGGTGTCTCTCTGAACAAGGACTTCAATTTCACTGACACTTCCTGCCAGAAAGTCTAGCCTGACAGCACAAGTTTGAGACAAAGGAAATGCAGCTCAGCCTTTGAATGCTTGAGAAAGACAGAAAACTGTCAAAGATGTGTAAAGTGGTAATATTTATTAGAAAATGGTTAAAATAAGCTCTTAAGTGGTCCAAAAATATTTTTAAATACCATTCATCCACAACTTTTAAAACTGCCTGAATCTCAGGTACATTTAATACTGGACTGCATTTTCTATGTCTAGTACTACAGTATGTCAGAATGACGGCTCCCTATGTGACTGATAACTATGTTTCATTATGTTACGTCAGTTTAAATGATTTTCTAAAGTGATTTTAACTCTTCTTTCAAATTAGACATAATTATTAGGATATCATTTATTTTATACTGGAGCTTTCTTTTTATCCCTGATCTAATAAGGAAATAATTACAGCAGAGCCTTGCTAATTTGCACTAAATGACTGGGACACTCAGTGTGAATTGATGAATTATTGAAAATGAGTAAAAACGCAATTTTAAAAAAATGAAAGATAATATAGCTCAAAATGTCTTGTGATTTGACTAATGTAATTTAGGTTTTTTTTACTGATAATACTTCGTAACATACTAGTAAGTGTTTTGCTAAGTTAATTCATTGAAGTCTCAAGTACGGAGACGTCACTACAGCACTGTCCCCCCTACACTGATAGCAGAAATAATTGATTTCATTCGAATTGTGTACAGTAACAAAGGGCAGTTAACAAGGTTTCACTGTTAAGTCTACTTGAACATAAACCGACCCTTCCCTTATAAAATTATTAAAACCTATTCCTATTTGCAGAAAGAGCTCGTGAACAGGTGAAATGGCAGAAGCTCAAGGACACAATGAGATACATGAAACTATCCAAATACTGTAATTATTTTTAAAGGGTTCTTTAACAGGTGTGCTGCCTCTGCATGTATTTTTCACACAGGACTCCACACAATTTCTAGTTAGGCATTTCAAAATACTGCTTCTAGGCACACGTTTAACTGATAGTGGAAGAGTGAGTTTTCTAGTGTCATTTGCCAGTTCAGTAATACAGCAGCTCTGTTCCCAATCCAGCATCAAGGACTTGGAAATCAGAAGGAAGTAGCTTAATAAAAGGAGAGACTACTTGTCAGGTGGATGTTTGGAACCCTGAAAATGTCACCATTATACATACCCTCTGACTGAAGGTCTAAATATTCTGAGCAATACCCACAGCAAGATAGAAAGGCAGCAAGAGAGACAGAGATAGGCAGAAAGAAGAAAGGAGAGAAATAAAAAGAAAACAGTAAAGATTAGTACAAAAACAGACAAAAGAATTAACTTTGCATTGCTATCCTTGGATGGTTTCCTTCCCTGTAACAATGACAAGGCAAGGGATGTTTAAAAGCTTTTCTAATCATATGCAGTAGCTGAATACTGTGCACTGGAACCTCCATGAAAACTGTACCCAATACACACAGAAGTAGATGAATCAATACACCATAAACAACAGCCTGCTCAAAGTTGACACTTAAAATACAAATTTTAGATTATCAAATAGCAAAGTATGCCAGAAACAGGAAACTTTCTAGTTATCACCAGAGAACTCTACAAGGTCCCTTTGCACATTTTTTCCAATTAATCTAAGATGTCAAATTTACTATGGATCTTCCAGGGGGGGAAATATATCTGCTGACGATGGCTGAAACAGCCTCTCACTTGTGTATGACCTTTTAAAACTCCTGCTAAGAATATGGCACACCTGAACCAAAACTGCCATGGGTAATGTTTTGCTGTGCAATGCAAGGAGATGATTAACTCAGGTGTGTTTCAACCATACCATCATGTAAAAAGCCTAAATGCAGATGCCAGATCCATCAGTGACACATCTCCAACCTGTGGATTCACAAGAGAATAAGTACCACCAGTCATGACTGCTACCTGTTTTTATTTATTTGGGGTGGAGGGAAGGTCAACAGGAAGCAGAGTCCTGGAGGTGATTTAAAGAGGTTCCCAGAATTTGGAAAAGGTATAGTGGCAGCAGACTGGAGTAGACATAGAGGGCCATGTGTAGTGCCCTTAACAGCAGGGGCTTTTAGGATACTAATAAGTCTAGTGATTACACACTCACCAGAACTATTTATTAAACATAGGTTATGTTATAGTACCCATCACTGTCGTATTGAAGTCTACTGTAGCTCTTTAACACTCTTCTCAATCTAGAAGAAGACTTTGCTCCTCCTTGGTAGCTGGCGTACTACAATGTTGCCCTGTTGTATCATAATTCTCCTGGAGTGACCCTTGATCTTGGGTAGGAAGTGATGGCACGCATTGCAGACTACCCGTAGCTTGAGGACGTTAATGTGAAGCAACAATTCTTGATGGTCCACTTGCCCTGTGCTGTAAACTTCTGCAGGTGTTCCCAACACATACCCTGTGGGGGTCCTTCAACCAATCAAGAGTGTCAAGGACCCCGTGGGGAATGAATGCTCATTTGGACAGGCTATGTCTATTTGGTGTGTCAAAGGTTCTGAGACAGGTTTGAATGCATCGGGAGTGGAGCCTTGCAAGGGGCATCATAAATGTGCAGGCCACCATATGGCCTAAGAGTTGTAGGCAAGACCTCTCTGTGGTCTGAGGGCTCTATTGTATCATGAATATGAGGCTGGACATGGTGTCGCACCTGTCTGTGGGTAGGTATTCCCTATTGGTTACTGAGTCCAGCATGGCCCTGATTAAGTCTATATGCTGAGCGGGTATTAGGTTAGACTTCTCTGCACTGAGGTGAAGGCCCAGGGAAAGAAACAGAGCTAGAGACGACTTGGTGTGTGACCTGACTTCAGAGAAGAAGCTGCCCTTGAGAAGCCAGCTGTCCAAGTAGGGGAAGACGACTATTCCCATCTGACAGAGGTGAGCAGCAGCTACTGAGAGCCATTTGTAAAGGCATCAAATTGGTCCCTTTGATCCTGTGGCAGATGGTCAATAAGTTGAAAGAACTTTGAGTAGATGCTGTCATCATATTTTGCCAGCAGGGCATGATAATTTTGCTACCCTAAATTGTAATGCTGCTGAGAAGTAGCTCTCTGCAGGGGCTGCCTGTTCTTCTCGTTGACCACACTGACCACCAAGGAGTTGGGGGTGGGAAGAGAACAAAAGATATTCAGAGCCCTTGGCCGGATGACGGTATTTTTTGCCAGCCGTCTTGCACGTAGGCAGAATGGTGGCAGGTGCCTGCTAGATGTTATGGGCTGGTGACAATAGTGCATCATCAATAGGTAGGGCTACAAGTATGTCATGGAGGTCACGGATTTCCTGACTTTCCACAATCTCCGTGGCATTGGGTGCCCTGTAGCAGCCCAGCCACCACCGGCAGCAGGGGAATCCCCCAGCCCCCAGTCGCTGCAGGCAGCGAGCGGGGGAATGGGGGGGGGGGGCGCGCAGCCTGCTGCTGCATGCAGCAGGGAAGGGTGATGGACCTTCCTCCCTTCCCATTTTGTAAGGGATGTTTTTAGTAAAAGTCAGGGACAGGTCACGGCTTCTGTGAATCTTTGTTCATTGCCCGTGACCTGTCCATGACTTTTACTAAAAATATCCAGGGCAAAATCATAGCCTTATCAATAGGCAGTGCTATCTTATCTTGTGATGTAGCATGGAGGATATCCATCAGGGAATGTCAGGATTCCTGCACCTGCTCCAGCGGGAGCTGTAAAGTCTCGACTGCCCTCTTCATCAAGTCCTGAAAAACTTTACAATCAGCTGCGTAGGATGGCGGAAGGGGCATGACTGCTTCGTCAGGAGACTACGAGGATTTGTCGGAAGAGGGAGTTTCCGCCTTGACTCTTCACTCTTGGTGTTCCACAAAGCCTTCCCGCGGAGGTGGTGCTCCCAGAGTCCAGAGGGCTGCTCCTTTTGGCATGCCTTTCTATGGAAAGGCACCCTGCAAAATTGGTTGCTGTAGGAAGCCTAAGGCTTCCAGAATGCCCAGTGTGGCAGGGCATGTGGAAAGTGAGTAGGACCTCAGGGGTGCTCCTGCCAAGATTGGCGGGGAGCGTGATGGCCAGATGCCAGAGTCTCCTCCTCAGGGTACACTCAGGGGATGGAGGAGGGGAGGGAAGGGAAAGGTGGCTGAATCCTGGACAGAGATGTCCAGTTCAGAAGATGTGTAATCCCTTGTGTCCAATGGGGAAGCTAAGGGTGTTGGTACTGGCAGCTGAGTATGTACTGGGGGTCGGATAGGTATTGGCAGCTGGGTGGGAAATGGCATCCAAGTCAGTACAGGTGGCCAACTTTTTGTAGCAGGATGCGGTGGTACCAATCAGTAGGTCGGTACCGGTGGGTGCCTGAAGTACTGGGAAAGGAATCCTCTCTGTACCTCTCAGGAGAGTGGAATCTGGCTCCTCTGTCACGCAGAGGTCCCTGTGGGAAAGAAGGTGATCTGGGGCAGTACTCCTTCAGCTGACGAGGGTCAAGCAGTACTGGAGTCGGTGTGGATGAACGGGCGTGCACACTCCCACGGCCCTCAGAGGGTGCTGAAGTCAGGGTCGGTAGTTTCTTTGAGTCCCTGCATCTGGAGGGCTCTGAAGGTACAGAGAATGTGGTTGAGTGTGTCTGTTTGCTGAGAGACTTCTCTTTACGTGGGGTGGTAGATCTCTTCGGCAGTACTGAGCCTTCAGTGCCAAAAAAACCAGGAGCCTCAGCGGCACCTGGAGCAGGATGCAAAGTCTCTTAGACCCTGATCTTTGGGGACACCTCTCACAGTGCTTCAAGCCCCAATCAAGGGACTGGGATCGCTTCTTCTTGGAGTGTTTGGAGGCCTTTGAAGTTGTCCCCTGCTCTTTGCTCCCTGGAGCAGCAGCACAAGTCAAAGAGGCCGCGGCAGATGTACAGAGGAGAATCTACCTTGCAGGCCTCAGAGATCACCCACCAAAATGGAGCTTTAGTCTGCCTTATCTCCACTTGCAAGATCTGCTTTTAAACCTGATGCAGACCTTGCACTTAGACGGGACATGGGACTCTCCAAGGCAGCTGGAATGCCTGTTGCTGAGGGGAAATAGCTGTGGCAGGTCTGGCAGGGTTTGAAGCCTGGGGTTTGGAGCATAGTCAGACAAAGGGTTCATCTATACTTACCTCCGGGTCCGGCGGTAAGCAATCGATCTTCTGGGATCGATCCCGGAAGTGCTCGCCGTCGATGCCAGTACTCCTGCTCCGCGAGAGGAGTACGCGGAGTCGACGGGGGAGCCTGCCTGCCGCGTGTGAACCTGCGGTAAGTTCGAACTAAGATAGTTCGACTTCAGCTACGTGAATAATGTAGCTGAAGTTGCGTATCTTAGTTCGAAGTGGGGGGTTAGTGTGGACCAGCCCAAGGAATAAACCGCAGCTGAAGAAAGGCCCAGGCTGGGAGCCTTAGCCATGGCCAACCAAGGGGACAGGTGAGAGCACAAAGAAAATTGAAAACTTGTGGTAAGGGAGAGAACTAAAATAAAAATCAAGGTTAAAAAAAAGTAAAATAAGGGGATAAAAACAAAAAAGGTACAAATTATGCAGGTAAGTAGCGGACACCACAATATTCTGTCTCCAACCTCAGGCGGCTGAAAAGGAACTGGAGCAGTGTCGGATCTGGCCCTCCCTATATACCCGCCGTCCGGAGCACGAGGATGTGCAGGGCGCAGGCGCAGACCCACAGACACTGCTCAGGGAAAAAAATCTTTGAGAGAAGGGGTATGAGCACGCACATACATAATGTGGAGCACCCATAGGGACATATACTTGAAGAACAAATGTTATGTATTATTATGCACGTAAGAGTAAAGATAGAGAAAAACTAATCAACCTCAAATTTATTAGAGTCCTCTCTTGATGCTAAAAAGTGCACTGCAAAGCTTTCCCTAAAAGAAATGGGATTTTGATATCCTAAATATCCTTTTGTGCATCTGTTGCACAAGCCAAGGAGGGTTAAAATTCACATGGCTGGTGCTCTAGTGAGCCACTCATACCGACCATTGAACAGATCACAGCTGTTATTCCACGAGGGACTCCTACAAGAAACACAACAACATACAATGCAGGAGGGAAACATTCTCAGAGATTATCAAAGTTCACTAATGCAAAATACTTCCAGGTCTGTTTCCTCTATTAGTATTTAAAAGCTTTTTTAATCATCATCCTAGTGATGATGTCAGAATCATAGAAATGTAGGACTGGAAGAGACTTCAAGAGGTC